TACAGATACAAATAATCACCAAGAGAACCTAAAATCCTAACCCAACCTAAACAATGCCTAAATATGCACAGTATGCTAATATATAACAATATTGATTTATATTTGAGAATTTTCCTATTTTGAATAAACAGCATGTTAAAATGGACGAATGCGTTTTTGGGGTCGACCGCCGAGTGGAATGGACTTGGTCCGAGAACGCGTTGAAAACTAGTACAGTCGGGTTCGTTCTCGACTCACAATAGGGAAATCCGGGTTCAAATCCCGGACGGGACAGAAATGGTTGGGGGCGTTTCCTATGACCTCATAGCACTATTTACCTACCAGTAAACAGGAACCCAGTCAGCTTATTGTGGGGAGACCTCTCCTCTCATCCTGAGAGGAGAGGTCAGCAATTCGAACTTGAGGGGCAAGGGTACCTCGATACAAGCCTAAAATATATATACACTGGCTACTTGTCCCCCGACACAATGAATTAGTATTATTATATAATTATCGAGGTCACCCCCGTTTCAGAGATAGTTTTCTTATTCAATATTCTTTACAGAGAACGGAACTGTCTGTCGAGCATGGGAACATGAGGCGCGTTAAACTTACCAACCCTGCCAACAATAAAAGAAAATAGCCAAAGAATTTCGGCTGTTGATTAACAAATAATTATCATCATAAGTGCTTGATAACGATATATTTCCTTAATCCATTTAATTATTTTTATATAACGCATTACATTAATTTGAACACTTTCTATTCATTCCAATTGTAGACTTTTCGTTTCGCCAGCTTTTTTATTTGTTTTGTTTACTGAACATGCACCCCCATGCATACAATCAATCCTATGCCATGCCATCAATCCATGGCATGGCATAGGATTGTACCCATTCCACTGTCATACACAATCCTGTGTATGACAGTGGAATGGGTACAGAGGCACGGAATGAATTCTAGCCCCAAAATTCGTATAGCTAACCAAGTTATCTATAGCCCTTACATAATTTAACATAAATAAAGCGACAGTATCGTCACAGTTTATCAAACTAACATCACCGTGACCTGGAGAGGCTCTAACACAAGGGACGCGAGTTAGTCGAGCCAATTACGTACAATATTAACTTGCCTATCAAGTACCCTACACCCATCCAGTGGGCAGCCGTGGAAAGGTTCCAATCATCATTCAGGAGTCTACTGATTATATATACATATATACTGATTATATATATATATATATATTATATTTATATATATATATATATATATATATATATATATATATATATATATATATATATATAGGGGGGTACCACCACTGGTGTAATTATAGGGACCCACAGCCTCAGAGAAGGGAACACAGAGCACTCAGGGAAAAACTTGACATTTAACTCTGAATACGAAAGAGTGTTCACTTCTCCTACCACCCCCTTTTTTTTTTATTATGATGTACACTTTATTATGCAAGGTTATACAGTTACATATCTGATTTTATACAAAAAATGAACATTAAGAGGACACAAGAAAAAGTTCGCTTCCTAGAGGCTGTAGATTTCCTCGAACTCCTCCGACGCCGGGCAGGAACCGAGGATGCAGCGGGCATTTCCCCTCTGGATCGCGACACTGAGGCGCTGAAAGAGAAAACTTGCTGCTCTAGGGTCTCTTGTGGTGTCAATGAGCTTGGAACCAAGATCCTTAAGAAACCTTCTTGCACTCTCACCCCATGGGCCTAGGGTCTCAGACCCTATTGGAACGAAATTGTACCTTTGATCTAATTGCCTGTACTTGACTGACTTTTGTTTTTCTCTGTGTGTCGCTGCGGCTCCTGCCGTGCCGGCAGAGAGGGTGATGTATGTCGTTGCCAGGGTGGATACGCAAGTATAGTCCCATGCTAACTGCCTGCCACCCTTCCACGGACGCAGTGTGATTCCGTCTGGTCGGCCGGCAAAGCTAACAGAGTCACGGTTCAGTAGGTTGCGGGGCTCTCTCTCCGCTGGACACTGAGCAGAGGCAAGGCTTCTTTTAATGATGTCGTTGACTTCGTCGTGTCTAGTGTGCCAACCACCCGATTTTCCACAGTGCAGGCCATGCAATCCATATTCGTCAGCATCTGCCTCGCCGCAAATACACCTGTGAACAGTGTGGATAGGGGCAGCAAGGCGGAGAGCGACTGCAATACGGAGCTCCTGCGGATCAAGACGTGTGCCTGTCGCAGACATAGGGACTGCCAGAAGGAAGTCCCCTGCATGGGGAGCCTGCACAGCTGTGAGGCGTGCACGATCACTGGGGGTTGTTGCTGCCTCCAGCAAAGCTGTGGCTTCTTTGTCTGCAATGGGGCTGTCCCAACTGGATTGTTTCTTGGCTTTCGGCATGGCTGGTCTGAGTGCTGGGTCTGTCATGGCACCCCATTTCGTGTCACATTCCGTGTAGTGGGGGTCCTGTATCCCCGCTACATCACTCAGGGTGTCAGGTAGAATTTCCTTAACCAGGTCATCTGATGCTGAGGAGGAAGACAGGAAGGCTGGGACTGCAATTTGGGTGGCGGTGCGGACACCCAAGCCACCGAGCCTGACAGGAAGAGTGGCTTGTTTCCACTGGCATTCGTTGAGAGAGAGGTTAACAACTTTTTCCAGCATGGTCTTCAGTAGGAGGTCATACTCGTCAAGCTTTGGGTTGTTGTAAGATGGGGCGCACCTCAGAAAGTAGGTTAGCCTCGGAAGGGATAGGCATTTGGTGAGGAGATAAAAAGCATATATATATATATATATATATATATATATATATATATATATATATATATATATATATATATATATAGTGTGTGTGTGTGTGTGTGGCTCTGTTCGCATGGTAGTATGATAGATAAAATAGTGTAGACTCCACTTCGTGTCAGATCTATAAGGTTGTGTTGAGGATCTTGGCGCCATATTCTCACGCATGCATTCAGAGTGCATCATGAGAAGGATTCCACATGAAATAGACTCTGTTAACGTAATTAATAATTTTAAATCTGTGGCTAGCTATAAAAAAATAGCATGTTACACTTGCCTTAAAGAGTTGAGCGTAATTAAAGATAGTAAAGAGTTTCTTGCAAATAGTTTGGTGTGAAGGACAGAGGCTCCAGTTGTTTACACAGACTTCTTTCTCACTTAAAGTACGAGTCTTTCACTCATTATCAAGACAACTGCACTTGGGCTGGATGGGAGAACGACGGTCTCGCTTCTTGCCCGTCCACTAAAGTAGCCACAACGGACAGAAAATGACGTACTAAATTGCCAATTTAGTACGCGCAGAAAACCCTGCGCTTGGGTTTAAAATTTAGTACTACCCCAAGCGCAGAAAACGTGAATGTTTGCGAGCAGCTCTGATTTATGGGACATCATATTTTGCCCATTGAATTGTTACGTCAAAATCCCCTCATTGTATTATTCGAGAAAACAGGTTGACCTGGCACCTTCCTCTTCGTGAATCTTACCAACAACATCTTACTGTTTTATATTCACTACATCAAATACAGCTGTACTTACATGATAGTTGACATCATGATCGAACTTTAGTCCATTGGCGCCCCCAATTTCTTAAGAGATAGGGCTTGGGGCGCCACTTGGTGACGTCTCGCTGCAATGTTTACCCGAACACAACCCACTGATGAATGGTCCAACACGTCCATAATACTGATGGGACACATGTATCACTTCACCACACCATGCAAGATACACCCGACTCTCTTGCTTACAGTTATGAGCAAACGTCGTGATTGGAAAGTCACAAAATTCTAGTAACTATGAGGTCTACTCTGTGATGGCTGGACGCGGCCGTTCCCCTGCCAGCGCCCTCTCAGGGTCACGTCGTACACAACACGGCTCTACACAGCTCGTTTTCCCATTGTCACAACCGTATCTATCGTAAGGGTTCCCATTGTCACAACCGCATCTATCGTTAGGGTTCCCATTGTCACAACCGTATCTATCGTTAGGGTTCCCATTGTCACAACCGCATCTATCGTTAGGGTTCCCATTGTCACAACCGTATCTATCGTTAGGGTTCCCATTGTCACAACCGTATCTATCGTTAGGGTTCCCATTGTCACAACCGTATCTATCGTTAGGGTTCCCATTATCACAACCGTATCTATCGTCAAGGTTAGGCTCGGTTGGGTTTGGTTAGGAAATGTCATGTAGGTTTTCAAATCTGTCTTGTGTACGATATGGCGTTGGGGGTGAGGGCTTACATGAGAGAGGCTACCTGACCCTGCTTATGTAACACCGCTCTATTGTAACACCACCCTAAAATGTACTTAGGTGACTACGGGAATGTGAAGCTCTCTATGGCTTGTCTGCTAGCTTCACGTACCTGTTGCATTAGAATTTAACTTTCCTGGTGTTCGGATTCTTTGACAAATCTGGCTTTAAAGTTGTGGATGAGTTGACTTCTACCGTTCATCTTTCAGTGCATTCCACTTGACCACATGTACATGAGACATTTGATTATATTTCTTCGACTAGTTTGACTTTCTAGCTTCTACCTATGTACTCCTGTTCCTACTTTTTTGTCTAGTCTTGTTCGACGAGACGCCTAGTCTTGAGACAACCATAAGGCTTCGATTATATTCACGGAGGGACAAAGGAGTCAACTTGCATTTCCTTTTCCAATCTTCCTAACAGGCAGATTAATATTTTTCCTAAATATGTTTCCCATATCATCATCTTGGTTTTCTTAAAATGATCTCGTTGATTTACCGCTGTTGCACTATTGTATTGTCTATGAATCTACAATTCAAAGGGAGATTTTCTTAAATTGTTCCCATTTCTTGTCCCACCAGTGGCCTCTATTACAATGCAAGGTAAATTAATTTTGCTGTATAGCGAGGGTCTCGCTCGATCCATGTGGCTAGGCGCCTTTCATTCACCGCAGCCTCATGTCCCTTTCCAGCGCTATATAGTCAATTAGCCATATTTGCTTATCGCCATCACATGAATATTAATATCAAATTAACGAAGGTAAAGGAAAGACCCAGAGTACGTGTAATTGTATTTAAAAAAATTAATTTTCGGAAGTAATCTACATACTTTCTCATGGTGCTGTATACAATGTTCAGAACAAGATTGTTGTTGTTTTAGATTCAGCTACTCTGAACAAAAAGTTCCAAGCAGCACGGGCTACAGTGAGCCCGTTGTGCTCACCTGGAACAGAAAGTGTGCCTGAACGAAGATTTGATGATGAGGATTAAGCTACCCAAAAGGTGGTACGGGCATGAATAGCCCTTAAGTGGTAGCCCTTTTGAGCCATTACCAGTATCAAGAGCTGATACTAGAGATCTGTGGAAGTGCGACTGCACCCTGCGTGACGGGAGATGTCTCCCGTCGACCAAATGGAGAACAAGATTCAAGGAGTTTGCGTTTATTTGTCTAGCAGAGTGCCTCAGTTGGCATCATTAGACGTCTTAAGTGATTATTAGGGACTTGCCGAGGGATGTCGAAGTTTCAGAAGGATGCTCAATTATCCTGATTTCTGGGAACTATGGGCAGGGTTCCACGGTATCACCATTCCCTCTTAACACCACAAGGTATGTGCATATGGACATACCCCCCCCCCCACGTCATACTATAAGATGAGATACTGATCAAAACATTGTTGAAGTTTTACCTTTACTAGTATCACAGTAACACATTACGGCGTATTTGGACTTTATATATGTAATTATGAGCTGCTTTGATAAACTTTGCTAGTCATGTATTCATGTACATCTTCTATGCATATATAATTTTTTTATATAATATATAATTTAAAAAATGTAATAATTCAATTCACTGTCTGGGGACAGGCAGCCAGTGTATTTATATACATTAGGCTTATACTGAGCCCCTCTTCCCCACGAGGTCAAATTACTGACCCCACAACAGTGAAAAGAGGCATTAGGTGATTGGGAATGTGCCAAACCATTTCTGTCCTGCCTGGGATTCGAACTCTGAATTCTCGACCGAGATTCGAGAGGGGAAAGGAACTATCATGTGAACCCGCCAAGCCACCACACCTATATAGCACAGGGAAGGGATCTGGATAAGGATTTTGGGATGGGACGGAGGAGAGTCGAGAACGAACCAGACTGTACTAAGGGACCCTTTAAAACTATATATTTAGAAATATATACGTATTAAGCCTCTGAGTAAATGACGATAACTCTTATCGTGTGCGATTAAAATAATTTATTATTCGTTTGTTAGACAATATATGATATTTATGTCCATAAGGTTTTTTGGAGAGGTTTTATAATGCACTACGTTCCACACTCCCAGAGCTGTACGCCAGGAATTTCAACATAGCATCCAAATAACGTTAGCCAAGCAAATGACGTTAGTCAAAACAGGACCTGCTCAACATCCGGGTGGGTGTGACATGGCTGCCTTATATAAAGTGCCATAAGACATTCTACAGCAACATATAATACTAATTGGTACTCTTCATCTCATTTAATAGCATTAAATTTGATTATTTTCTTCTGTGGGCTGGTTATCATAGCAAAGCAGTCTCCAGGGGAAATGTACAAAATATTGTACACACAGGAGAAAACAAATATATGGTAGAGTTGGATCCATTCAAGTAGAGATGGAAGACGCTTCCTGATTCAAGATATAATAATAATAATAATAATAATAATAATAATAATATAATAATAATTTTTATTTAGGCAAAGGTACATACATAAAGAGATTTTACAAAGTTTGTTGGCTTTATAGATAAGAGCTAGTACATACAATGCCTAAAGCCACTATTACGCAAAGCGTTTCGGGCAGGAAATGAGCATATGAGAATATGAGCATATGGCATATGAGAAGCAAGGCTTAACTACGCCGTGTTAGATCCTCTTTAATATCAATATCACGCAGGTTTCGTTTCTTCGTGAATGAACACCAAAGAAGAGCATCAGCTGCTTAAAACTTTTAGATCCTCTTAAAGTATCGATGACACACAGTCCCCGATTCCACGTGAGTTAGTGTCTGAAAAAGAAACATCATCACGTAGAGGTTAAAAAGTGACACTGCCAAAGATATTCGTAAACGTAGTGGATGGATATATGAAACCATTTCGTTTAGAAAAACAAATGATATATTATCAGCATATTGTTCAATAATAATAATGTTAAAAGTTTTGAATTAAGTATTTCAGTGTTCCTATAAGCTCTAATAAATGAATTTGGTGTACTATATGCATGTTAACATCTGTATTATTTTAGTTTTAATACAAATAATTATACAAAAAGCATGTGCTGTATTTAAAAATAACGTAGCCTATTGCAATAATCAAGAAATATGACTGACGCAAATTATATAGGCTAGAGCCGTAGTTTCTTTTGCTAATCTATACGACAGATATAGCAACCAAATTAGCAAGCAACAAAGATTAAAATAAACCAGGCATAGGTACCCTTCCTCTCTTATCAAAACCTATTAATGCAAACATTCAGCTTTGAGAAGAGTGTGTGACGTCTCTCCTAAGACCGAAAAGCACTTGTCCACTACTGCAGTTATGACCAGTTTAGATCAGACACCTATATGGACCTCACAAAACGTCCACCAGACAGTGATAGCGTTAATTACCAGGATCATGTTAGGCTAGTCTACGATTTCCTGTGGCAGATGGCTACAAATGACGAATTCCCCAATACTGAGTACTCCATATGTGTGTAAACTCTGCGAGCAAGAACTGGGTCAAACATCTTCAAAATTGCATTATTGAATGTACTTTCACACCTGAGTTATGAGGTACCTGGAGCTTTGCAAAAAGTGCATCGCTTCCCGTGTTCTCGAAGAAGCCCTCAACCCATTACAAATTTGAGAATGCTGGGTAACTGATCACTTGCCCCCTGCATGACTAACTATTCTACATGACGAAAACCTTCATAGTGCTTAGGGAAGCAACATCAATGCAAATGTATATCTGTCAACAAATAAAGTGTTATCTAAAATGAATTTGAAGGAGTATGAATTAACCGTCCGCTGTTTAACACGTTGTGCTACTATGTAGAGTTTTTAGTGCATTAATAAATTGATTAAGAATTCTATGTATTGGTCAGTGCTCTGTATGCACGAACTGGTTGATATACTGTATGAATGAACTCTTTAGTATACTGAATAAACTGGTTAATACATTATTGTCTTAATGGGCTAGTTAATACTGTCTGAATGAAGTGGTTAGTATACTGTCTGAATGAACTAGTCTGGCAAATTGTAAATATACTGTGTGGTATATTGCATGAATAAACTGACTGGCAAACCATATTAAAACTAAAGCAACTGAACACAAACATCCCAACTGAAACCTCAAAACTAGAATGTACAATAACAACAAAATTCAATAGGAAGTTTAGGCTACTAGCAACATGGTGATAATTATTGTACAGTATATATGAAATTTAAAGCTGCCTCATATGGCAGGCAGGCCTGCCTGCCTGCATTCTTATTTCCTTAATTCTTACGTTCTTAGTATGTTCTTTGAGCTAGCTTCATATTGGCAGAGTGCTTGCTCCTGATAATTTAAGGAGATTTTTAAATTAATTTTAATATTTTTTAAATAAAATTACTGTAGTCATGTAAGAAATATATTAATAATATATAAAACTTAAGAACTTAAGATTTCGAAAACAATATTAATACTAAATTAGCATTACATTGTTATTTCTATTTGTTCATTTTATATTTATCAATTAACAAGCTTATTATTGTGGTAGGAGAGACCCACCATAGCGAGGCCCTCCTGCGAGAACTCCCTGACGATCTCTGTGGTGTAGTTGGCTGACTTCTGTGTCTGTCTGATGCACGAGCCCTCCACGCTGAACACGTTCTGTTGGCACATGCAATAATACTTAAGAAGGATACTTATTAGGGGGATATTGATCTAGACCAACGGCACCCCACCTTCGGCCAGGCCGACGGCACCCCACCTTCGGCCAGGCCGACGGCACCCCACCTTCGGCCAGGCCGACGGCATCCCACCTTCGGCCAGGCCGACGGCACCCCACCTTCGACCAGGCCGACGGCACCCACCTCGGCCAGGCCGCCCATAGTCTCCGACTTGACGACTTCTCCCGGGGTGAAGGCGTACTCGATAGTCTTGATTAGCGTAAGCATCCTTATCGTCCAGCGGTCGCCGTCTCGAACAACTTCCACATCTGGCTTCGACGTTAACATCAGCTTCCGGGGAATCAGCGGGACTCCTGTGGATAACGGACTACGTTAGTGGTTCGTTAATTTAGCAGAGGTGTTGTGCTGGTTTAGCGAAGGTCCGATGAGGTGAATAAGATGACTTAGTGAAGGTGAGGTTGTGTAATGAATACAGGTTGCTTCATTTCAGGTATTGTCGCTTTATGAGGGAAGCGAGTTCACTTGGTGCAGAATAGACCCAGTGAAAAGTAGAGGTGACATAGGAACAATCTGAGAACGTTGTATGAACATCAGAGGTCCATGGCTGTTCAATATCCTCCCAACAGGCATAATAAGTATTCCTGAAACAAAAGTGGACGTGTGTAAAAGAAACATTCTGTCAGAAGGTGCCGGACCAACCAAGCTCTTGGGGAGTAACAGGACCCTCGGAACCCACTCCAGGTATGTGTGTTTACTGGAGGAGGGATTTTGGCTCTATTTTCGTTAACACCATTTGGGTGGACTCCTTCAAAATGTTACCACTCTAAACTTGGAGATAACTCTACCTAATATAATGGCTGGCAACTTTTTGAATTAGGATTTGATCAGTTGATAGCCAGAGTAAAAATCTCACAGAATGTCGATCTAGTCCTAGTCATTCATCAACATATAAAATATGATCATCCTCACCTTGTGAGGGAGGTAGCCACAGGCGCTTCCGGTGAAACATTCCTTTACTGCTTACCTGAAGCCACAGAAACGATCCATGAATGCTTAGCTTCATCGTCAACGTATATATGAGACCAGCCCGTCCTCCTAAGGTTTCCCCAAATCAAGAAACTGTCGTACTAAAGTTATCCTAACCCACCAGAGGACCCAAAACAGAAAACGGGACAGTATGTCAATTTCGCGAGCCGCTACCATTTCCTAGTACGACGATTTTTGCCCTTAGGTGGAGTATGTGTCAATATGCGACGTTCTATTAGGCGGTCGGGTTGCTCTGAGCTATTAATTTTTTTTATTATTTTCTACCACAGACGTGGCCACGCATTAACAATGCTAACGAGCATATATATATATTCTTCTGTCCTCCATGGACAGGGTTAGAGATTTGTTAAGCATATAGTTCAGGGATTTATTGAACAATCAACCACAGAAGGTGATTGTAGTGCTTTTAAAATGCTAGGCTAGGAGCCGTGGTCATCACAGGTCGCCCGCCGCCACCCTCACATCCACCATCCTCCCAACTCATTGACTGGTTTCGTAATGAGTTAATCTGCTGGCGAGGCCGTCGACGAACTCCGTGGATCACTTGGTAAAACACCAACACCAGGCAGAGGACGGGAAGATTACTAGTGGGAAGAATTTAAGGTGTGACGTATCTTCCCTCAGAGACTAGGCTGCTATCGGCCTCACACCATTGGATTTAAAGTATAAAGCTGATCAGAATTGCATTTCACCATTATAAATAACATTAATGCATTCATAAATCTATGTATCTATGTATTTACGTATGTAGCTGAGCCTAACATTTTAAAAGCACTACGATCACCTTCTGTGGTTGTTCAATAAATCTCTGAACTGTATGTTTGACAAATCTCTCACCCTGTCCATGGAGGACAGAAGAAAATGTATATATGCTGGTTAGCATTGTAAATGTGTGGCCACGTCTGTGGTAGAAAATAATAATAATAATAATACCATCGGATTCCAAGTACATCACCCCGTCGGGAGACGCAGCCTCACATCTGCATTCACAGAACTCCAACTAAATTAATGCTATAAGCAGCGAATTGCGTGAAGTCTTTTGCTCCTCCATTTGTGTGAATATTTACTGGATGGAAATTAGTGTAAAGCTACTGATATGTAATGATGAACATTCAATCTGTTCTTACTTATATATGGAGTACATATCCTTTGGATGAGGTTTGGTACATAAGTTTTGGATGAGGTGAACAAACTTGTGACAAATACAAGCCAGAACACGAAACTATGGGTATTAATTGGATATGAGAGCATAAGAATGGAAATAACTGCAGAGGGCCTATTGGCCCATACTTCCTCTTAATGCTTCTATATTGGTTCGGAGTCTTGAAGTGGGTAGAATTAATACACAACTATATTCTACCCACTACCCAAATTCGTTTGGTGTAGGTTGATAACATATCACACAATTACTGATAACACGATAACATATCACACAATTACACCCACCCACACATGCACTGAAAGACGACACACTAAATATAGAAGGATACGAGAAACATTAGGAGGAGGGCGGCGGCTCCCTGCTGCACGACGTCCTGAATACCAAGCACCTGGAGGGCAAGCACCAGAGATGACTGGAGACATTGACCAGACCACACACTAGAAGGTGAAGGGACGACGACGTTTCGGTCCGTCTTGGACCATTCTAAAGTCGATTGTGGTCCAGGACGGACCGAAACGTCGTCGTCCCTTCACCTTCTAGTGTGTGGTCTGGTCAACATACTTTAGCCACGTTATTGTGACTCATCGCCTGCATATGACTGGAGACGCTGCACACGCCCCCTTCACTGGGGTGGGAACCTGCCCAGACATCCCCTCCGCACTAAATGAACCCCCACAGCCCGGGGGAAGTAATGGCGGTCCTCGCCTCTCCACCATAAATGTTATCAACAAAGCTTCAGCTGAATGCAAATGAGCCGGAGTATTGACAAACGTGTCACTCTTACTCAGCCTCGCATAATGATGGTCTCATCTGACTGTCATCTCCTTTTGTACAATTGTATTCGTTTTCAGTTCTTCTTTCTCCGTGTTGACAAAGAAGAACTGGTTGGGACTGGGAAGGACTGGTAGGGACTGGTTGGGTCCTCAAGAGTAAAGACCCTTTACTCTTGAGGATCCAACCAGTTAGAGCACCAGGATTCATCATGGAGTAACACAAGTAGTTACTAACCTCACCATCTTCTCTCAGTCTTAGGCGGCTTTGTTTACATTTATTAAGCAGTTTATGAGCTCTGAAGCACCTGGACGCTATTGATAACAACACAGTAATAACATTTCATCGGTAAGTTTCGATCCTGGTAAACTCTTAAATAAATGTGAAGCCGCTAATAGTTGAGAAAAGATGTACAGGTTCAGTTAGTCACTAAGAGACTCGAACCACCGACTCCACGGTGTGAGGCGGAAGGGCGTGGACCACTACTAATGGCTATGTGCTTAATTAAGCGAGGCGGGGGAAGTACAGTATAAGATTTCAGTTGGGCAGCGGTTTGCTGCCTCTGACATCATTCCTATTCGGCTCTCTCAGACGGCTCAGTGGAAGAGCTTCCGCCTCACACAGTGAAGGTCGGCGGCTCGAGTCTCCTATAATGTCTAAGTTAATGAAATGTTTATTTCCACGATAATGTGGTTGACAATTCCGTTGACTTAAGTTTTGAAGTATAGAATTAAAGTATAACTGGTAGTTGGTCGGTCAGCTGTTACAATGACCTCAGTAACTTTGCCCAGCTCGAGAGGCCTCCAGTCCGACACCAAGCCTGGAGTATCGCCTCACCTTGACACCCCACGACACGCAGTGCCATAGGTGTGGCACCCATAGACGGCCACATAGGTGTGGCTGCCATAGGCGGCCACATAGGTGTGGCTGCCATAAGCGGCCACATAGGTGTGGCTGCCATAAGCGGCCACATAGGTGTGGCTGCCATAAGCGGCCACATAGGTGTGGCCGCCACAACAAATGGCAAGTAGCAAGGAAACACCTTTACAGCGCCAGCACCTCAATCACCCGAGGGCTCCATAACGCGCTACACTATACATCGTCTAACACATCTCCATGTATATCTGCTGATTAGTATTGTATAAATGTATGGCCACGTCTGGGGAAGAAGACAAAGAGTTCCTGCATCACATGTGGCAATGATTAGTGTTGCTACACTACACTTGGCGCACTTCTTGATTGTAAACATTGGCGAAGTATTGCATGTTGATGGTGTTGCACTCCTTGGGTTATGTATCACTCCTGTGTCTTCACCATGTATCGCCATGTATCCATCTTGAGGTTATCTTGAGATGATTTCGGGGCTTAGTGTCCCCGCGGCCCGGTTCTCGACCAGGCCTCCACCCCCCAGGAAGCAGCCCGTGACAGCTGACTAACTCCCAGGTACCTATTTACTGCTTGGTAACAGGAACATCAGGGTGAAAGAAACTCCGCCCATTATTTCTTGCCGGCTCACGAGATCGAACCCGGGACCACAGGATCACGTGTCCAGCGTGATCACCGGCTCCCTCCATGTGCATATTTTTATTTATTATTTTTAATTTATATATACGTATAAGTTGTTACATTTTTGTACAGCCACCAGCACGCGTAGCGTTTCGGGCAAGTCCTTAATCCTATGGTCCCCGGAATACGATCCGCCAAATCGTTTAACAATCAGGTACCCATTTTACTGCTGGGTGACCAGAGGCTACAGTTAAGGCTTGGCGCCCGGTAAATCCTCCCCGGCCAGGATACGAACCCAGGACAAAGCGGCTCGTGAACTGTTCCATTCACCTGGGCGAATGTGAAAGAAACATTTTATAAGACGAACTGATATATGCCCGAAACGCTTTGCGTAATAGTGGCTTTAGGCATTGTATGTACTAGCCCTATCTATAAATCCATCACTCTTTGTAAAATCTCTTGTATGTATGTACCTTACCTAAATAAACATTTGATTTGATTTGATGTACGTATGTATGGAAGCATGTGAGTGTTACTAAACATAGTCGAAAGGATTTTATAAATGATTCTAGTACGAATCTTCTCTATATGTACATGTTGAAGCTGTGTACATCACTTGCGAAGGAAGTTGACAAATAATATCTAAGATTAATTTTAAACTTTCAGCCTGAAGCGTTTTACTAAATAACACCTAAGCATCCTCAGAGGGAAAGTACTAGAATCATTCATCAACCAAACCTTTTAGGCTATGGTTCACGTTAGTGTTTCCCCACAGCAGGAGAACTGTTAGGGTTACAGAGGTCCCCCTTAAACCTTCCCAAGGATGCAACCCACAACACTTGCCTGACTCTCGGGTGCCTATGATAGGGGAACAGCAGCGTCAGATGAAAGGAAACGTCTCATGTCCTGCCTGGAAATTGAACCAGAGCCAGGCGACTGTGAGTCGACAATATCCACGATCAGTGAATGTACTGAAGTGAATGAAGGTGAGCCAAGGGGGTCCTGTAGTACAGTTGGCTTCGTTCTCGACTCGGGCAGTCCAGGTTCGAGTCCCTGGTGGGACAGAAATGATTGGGCACGTTTTTTTTTTTGAGATATATACAAGAGTTGTTACATTCTTGTACAGCCACTAGTACGCGTAGCGTTTCGGGCAAGTCCTTAATCCTATGGTCCCTGGAATACGATCCCCTACCGCGAAGAATCGTTTTTTCATCCAAGTACACATTTTACTGTTGCGTTAAACAGAGGCTACAGTTAAGGAATTGCGCCCAGTAAATCCTCCCCGGCCAGGATACGAACCCATGACATAGCGCTCGCGGAACGCCAGGCGAGTGTCTTACCACTACACCACGGAGACTGCTGTCTCCTCTTACCACTACACCACGGAGACTGCATCCTTTACTGGAAGGTTCGTTTCCTTTCATCTACTGTCCACCTAGCATTAAGTAAACTAGGAGTTAGATAATTGTCATTCTCACCTAGTTGTGCTTGCGGGGTTGAGCTTCGGCTCTCTGGTCCCGCCTCTCAACTGTCAATCAACTATTGTGAGTTGCATCTTGGGGAATGTCAGTAGAGAAGACGTAGATGCAGGCTTCCTGTCCCAGACAAAGAGAATTGTTTTACAATTTATATAAACTAATTAGCAAGAGGATAGGATAAATAGAAAAAATCCCATTAGCAAAAATTAAACTGCAATGGAGGAAACACTGCTCGTGTGTGCAGGGAGTCGAACCTTGACCTCAGAGCAGAAGTCGACTACTGTACTCAACACCAGTATCTCTGGAATAACTACTATGCAGCGGAGGACTTACCAATGGCCTTGAGGAATTCATCGAAGTTTTCGGATCTCTCATGTTGGTATTTCCCCTCCAAGTGCTCCATGTTGCTGCTCCTGTCTGCAGGGCGAGGCTCTGGGGCTGCTGCTGCTGCTACTGTCGCTTTCTGGTGGGTGACGTGGTTGGTCTTGGTATGGTTGGCGTTGCCAAGATGACGTAAGGGCCGGTAGTGACAACGGTAACCTGAAGTATGAGAGTGGAAGTAGTGTTGCTTCAGGAGATAGAGGAATACCTGGTTAACATTGCTTATACGACAAAAGTAATAACAGATGTATGTTAACTACATGGTCTAGTTTACTTCCATTCGTTGTTTTAATTTGAGAACCCTGAACATCATGGAACATGTACATTATGGAGAAACTATCAGAAGCTTCTGATAGTTTAAGATAAGTGTCCGATAGGCCTAAGATAATTCACGACCCGTAGGACTTGCGTCGCATCTCTTGTAAGGAACCTGAAGAGAATTGTAGAGATAAATGTCTTCTTGTTCGTGTTTAGTGTTGCTTGTGTACGTTATCATGCACTAAGACATTCTCTCGTGAGTTGTTAATACGAGCGAACGTGTCCCGTATATATGAAGCTTTAAGAGATTATTTAAGGATTCTATGCGAGGCTTCGGACGAGCGAATCTTATGAATAGCCGGTGGGAGTGTGTGGAGCGCTTCCTCGTGCGTTCCCAGGTTTCAATGGTGGCATGAAAGACGCATAATAAAGGTTTAAGGAGGTTAAATTTGTCGTACTGAAACTTTAAGTGGACTCAGAAGCCACGATTAGGATTTAAAACGTTGCAATTTTGGCATGAAAAGGCTCGTTGATGGTCTTATGTCGCCAGCTTCTGGTATTTTATATATACGTGTAAATCACGAAGAAATTAACACGTGATGAGTAATGTGACAATGTCAGACCACGAAGGAAGGTTAAATATTTTCGTATTTAATAATACGAAAGTATCTTTTCCTATTATGAAGGTTTAGACTACTCGAGGTGTGAGGGACTGAGCCCCGTCGCCACGATATCCAAGAGCCAGCCCGTCCTCCAAAGACCCAAAGTCCATTCCATGCACCCGCCAAACCCCCTGTTTATGAATGAAAAACGGTTTACACACGACTCAACTGATTTCATTCGAACACTTCCGGAACAAGTGCTTCACTGACGAATTTTGTTCGAACCCAGCCCGTCCTCCAAACAAAGATCCAAAAGTGATTCCATGCACCCGCCAAACCCCCTGTTTATGAATGAAAAGCCGTTTACACACGACTCACAACTGCTGACGTTCGAACATATCCGGAACAAGTGCTTCACTGACGAATTTTGTTCGAACCACAACGCTATAAATGCTTCACCCACGTACTACAAATACAAATAATCGCCAACAGAACCTAAACACCTAACCTAACCTATGCCTATATATGCACAATATGTTAATATATTATAATATTAATTTATACTTGAGAAAATTCCCGTTTTGAATGAACAGCATGTTAAAATTTATGAATGCGTCTGTGGGGTTGACCGCTGAATGTAATGGACTTGAGTCGAGGACGGGTTGTCGAACCACAACGCTGTAAATGCTTCACACACGTACTACAAATACAAATAATCGCCAACAGAACCTAAACACCTAACCTATGCCTATATATGTACAATGTGCTATCATAATAATTTATATTTAAGAACATTCCTGTTTTGAATGAACAGCATGTAAAAAATTATGAATGCGTCTGTGGGGTCGACCGCTGGATGTAATGGACTTGAGTCTAGGACGGGTTGCCAAAAGCAACGTTGATTCAACGTCGAACCAACGTGACTAGGGGATGGGGCTACTGTATCGACTGGGAGGTGGAGACAGGTCACCGAGTATAACAGGCGGGCTGGTCTGGGATTTACTCTCACCTCTAGACTGTTATCGGGAAGCACACAGGTGATAGATAACGCGGCGAGATTAACATTCTCATTCCTTGAGGCGAGGGCGAGCTGAACGCAGGAGGCGAGGCCTCAAGCGGGACCTCAAGTGAACCAAGATAGTGAGCCATGACGCAGCGCAAGAAAGTGCTTATCAAGTAATTTAAACCTGATTAGAAGCCCCTTAGGGGTCAGTAAGTGGGTTCAAGAGGTCACAGAGCGACTTCGCTTGTGACTATGTAGTAAGGATAGCAAGGGAAGCAATGAAATACTAAAGGAAGCTACGAGGCCTCCATATTGTAGTCAATGAAAGCTACGAAGCAGCCATCTTGTAGACAGTGGAAGCTACGAGGCCTCCATCTTGTAGACAGTGGAAGCTACGAGGCCTCCATATTGTAGTCAATGAAAGCTACGAAGCAGCCATCTTGTAGACAGTGGAAGCTACGAGGCCTCCATATTGTAGTCAATGAAAGCTACGAAGCAGCCATCTTGTAGACAGTGGAAGCTACGAGGCCTCCATATTGTAGTCAATGAAAGCTACGAAGCAGCCATCTTGTAGACAGTGGAAGCTACGAGGCCTCCATATTGTAGTCAATGAAAGCTACGAAGCAGCCATCTTGTAGACAGTGGAAGCTACGAGGCCTCCATATTGTAGTCAATGAAAGCTACGAAGCAGCCATCTTGTAGACAGTGGAAGCTACGAGGCCTCCATATTGTAGTCAATGAAAGCTACGAAGCAGCCATCTTGTAGACAGTGGAAGCTACGAGGCAGCCTTCCAGCTTACTCCCCAGTTCTCTCTTGGCGTCCTGCTCCTCCCAGCACCGGCACTTGGTTGACTAGCCACCCGTCACCTGCCCAGAGCCACTACAACCTTCGAGGAGGAGAGGTTCGTCCGTCTCTGGTGTTTGGGTGACCAACTGCTAAGAATTATATAAAAAAAAATTGTTTCGGTTATTGCCCACTTGACGACAGAGGTGGCTGAGGTCATGCAGTTAACCGGTGTATACTATAACCAGGTTGTTGTTGTTGTTTAAGATTCGCTACTTGGAACAAAAAGTTCCAAATAGCACGGGCTATGGTGAGCCCGTAGTGGACTTACCTGGCACAGGAGCGGGGCTATGTGGGATTCTCAGAAGAGTTGTAACCAGGTTGTTATAGATTCAGCTACTCGGAACAAGTTCCAAGTAGCACGGGCTATGGTGAGCCCGTAACTTACCTGGCACAGGAGTGGGGCAAGAAGCACGGGCTATGGTGAGCCTCTGGTAACCAGGGGCCAGATTCACGAAGCAGTTACACAAGCACTTACGAACCTGAACATCTTTTCTCAATCTTTGGCGGTTTTGTTTACAATTATTAAACAAGTAATGAGCTCCGAAGCACCAGGAGGCTCTTTATAACAATAACAGTTGATTTATAAATTTTAATGATTGTAAGCTGTTTAATATATGTAACCAAAGCCGTCAAAAATTGAGGAAAGATGTTCAGGTTCGTAAGTACTTGCGTAACTGCTTCGTGAATCTGGCCCCAGGTCACGGGCTTCCCTGTTATCTTGCGCTTGGCGGAGGAACGCCAGACGCACCTCACGCATAAAATGCAGTGCCGGGAAGCGCGGGAAATACTCTGTTTGTATTAACAAGCTTAGGTATACACGGCAATATGCTGCCACCCTTATCTATACGAAAGATTACACAGCGTAGATAAGAAAAAAACTAGCTGTAAGTTCATCTAATATTCCCATCTCACAGGATGGGAATATTCCCATCCTGTGAGATGGGAATCTCACATCTCACAGTCATACATGGAATCAGGGGAGCAAATACCAGCCTCGATACAAAAACAGATTAACTCTGACTAAAAATCAGGAGAGAACATGAAATGTGAGGCCTCCTGAAGTATTAGCCTCCACTAGGCCTCCTCTGGCTACAGAACAAGAATATCTTCCAATACTCCTGAGTGTATGAAGTAATTACAGAGCTCAAAGTACCTCATACCATTAGGTCTGAAGTCACTTATAACAGGAAAATCACAGATATAGTGTTGGAGAGTATGTCCCAGCTCTTGTTCACATAGTTTACAATTAGAATGTTCACCATTGGGGGAATCATTACCTGCAGCCACCTGCCATAGATATCGATATCCCAGCCTAATGCTGGCAATTACAATGTCACACTGTCTAGAGGATGTTTAATACTACCCATATATATAATTCTCGGTTCTAAACATGTCATAGCTCTTTATACTCGTGCTTTCTGGCCTGTGTGTGTCAGTGACTGCTCTTCAGTCTTCCCTAATTTCCTGAAATATTGCGGCTTGTACAACCGAGATTGGAATGCCCATATCTAACTCAACTTCGGGCTTATCACATGCAGATTTAGCTGCCTTCTTTATTCTTTAAGGAGTCTAGATACATTTCCTTATACATCAACAGCCTATTCTAAATATTTTTGTTTTAGAATTTATAAAACAAATATTTTATCTTTCTGGGAAAACAAAACTATCATCGTGATTTGTGTTTGTGACTTAGTTTGCTACGATATGATAACAATAATTATCAATTTGTATTTACAAACATGCAAAACATGACGGTGCAGGTGGCAGGTTTGTTACACAAAGGTGCCTATTTAATAAGGGCCTCATGTAAGCATATCGTTAATTAATTATGCACATTCCTTGGATGTGACAGGATGTCCTAAGCCAAAATTTATTAGTCGTGTGTTAAAAAGACTATAAGTAAAAATATTAATTAAAAATGCCATATTTCAATTCTCATTTTTGCGGTGTTAAAAACTACTTTATTTTTAATTTACCAGTACAGGTTTAGCTTTAAATCCACAGTAAAGAGGTCAGCCCCGCTGGCTCTGGCGAAATTACTGAGTTGCCCTGGAGTGACCCCTAGTTACCCTACCCCTCCTCCCCCCGACAGCTGGTCACGAGCAGAAAGCTAGAATTGGCGTCAATTACTGACAATTGCAATGTCATGTAATTATGAAGCTGGTCCTCCTAAGATCTTGTTGTTTTCAAAATTATATAGTTTATATTAATATAAAAATACTGCAAATAATTAAAATTAGTATATTATATATATATATATATATATATATATATATATATATATATATATATATATATATATATATATATATATATATATATATATATAAAATCAGCAGATGCGTTCACAGGATTAAAACCTAACTGCATCAAACAAATGCTCAATCCTTTGACATTGCACAGGGCCTCCTTGGTGAAATTAACCAGATTCACCAACACGTCTAGCTGGCAACATACCATGCGGCGTCTCGTCGCAAAGACTGCTGCGAGAACAGTTTGCAAGGCAGCGGCCAATATGCTAAAGCCAAAACAGCTCGGGTTCGGGATTCCACAAGGGTGCCAGACGGCAACTCACGCAGCTCGAGCTTTCGTCACTAACATCACAGACGAAAAGGCCCTGATCAAGTTGGATTTAAAAAATGCCTTCAATTTGGTGTGGAGGGATGCTGTCCTCCGTGCAGTTCATCGTCATTTCCCTTCCCTCTACCTTTTTGCACATTCATGCTACAGTATGGATCTAAAGCAACCTTTTGGCTAATATGAAATTGACTCGCGAGAAGGCGTCCAACTGGGTGACCCCCTTGCTCCTGTCCTTTTCTGCTTAGTCATCAAACAAGTCACAGAGGTCCTGTCCAGCGAGCTTAACATCTGGTTCTTGGATGATGGTACCCTAGCTGGTTCCCAAGACTCCCTCCTGAAGGACATCAGAAAAATCCAGGAGCAAGGTGCAATTTTAGGCCTCATCCTAAACTGTTCTAAGTGTGAAATAATATGTTCCAACCAGGGCATCGTAGAGAGAACAGAGGGTGTGCTGCCAACTATCCATATAACTAAACCTGAAGACAGCACACTCCTAGGAGCCCCCCTGGGGTTGAAAGTCAAGATGAGGTCCTTGATAAGAAAATCGCCGACCTTAAGAGGATGGATGGGAGGATTGAGGATATTGATGCTAATGACGCACTTTACCTCATCACCAGATATGTCCCTCCCCAGGTTAACGTACTTTCTGAGGTGTTCACCATCCTACAGAAGCCAAAAACTAAGTGAGTATGACCCGTTACTGAAATCAATGTTTGAAAAAAACCTGAACCTCTCTCTTGATGACCTACAGTGGAAACAAGCCTCTATTCCCATAAGACTTGGGGGACTCGGAGTTCGAACAGCAACGCAAATCGCTGTACCATCCTTCCTGTCCTCTTCGGCATCCGACAAAATTGCGAAGGAAATTCTACCTGCCTACTTAAATCAGTTGGCAGGCGTGCATGATCCCAATTTTATAAGCTGTGTCACCGAGTGGGCCTCTCGAGCAGGCCCATCACCTCAACCACCATCCCCAAAAGCCCACAAGCACTCCAGCTGGGATGGCCCCATTGTAGACCAAGTTGCTGCAGAGTGCCTGGGTGATGCAACAACACAACATGACATTGCTCTCCTCACAGCAGTAGCAGCCCCACATGCAGGGGATATCTTGTTAGCAACCCCAATGTTGGCAACTGGCACGCGTCTCACACTACACGCCCTCCGCCTTGATGCCCCAATCCACATCAAATATAGATGTATGTGTGGCGAGGTGGAGGCAGACAGGTACGGCCACAATGGCCTACTAGGGATGGCACTCAAGGAACAGTGAAGTTAACGACATCAAGAGGAGCCTCACCACAGCTGGATCCCCAGCTGAAAGAGAGCCCCATTACCTAATGCCTCGTAACTCTGCTGCTCTTATTGGTCGCCCAGATGGTATCACAGCTAGTAAACCCCTGGAAGAATGGCAAGCAGTTGGTGTAGGACTACACGTGCGTATCAACCCTGGCTAACACCTACATTGACTTCAGTGTTGCACAACCAGGTGGCGCTGCCACTCACAAGGGAATCAGCCAAATCCCGTAAGAACTGCGAACTGGATCACCACTACAATTTTGTCACCATTGCTTCTGAGACACTCAGCGCCTGGAGTAAGAGTGCCACCAGTTTTTTTAAGGAACTGGGTTCTAGGATAATTGAAACAAGAAGAAACCCTACAGCTTCCTTTTCCAGCGCCTCAGCGTGGCGATACAGAGGGGATATGCACACTTGCATTCAGGGTTCCTGCCCGCCATCTGAGGAGATGGAGGAACTCAACAACTTATGATAATCATCTTTGTACCATATATATGTATGGGTAATCCGGGCGTCACCGGACACCCTCCACCCGGCAATACAATGATAATCTTATACAATGTTACTGTATCACCTTATTGTACCCAAGGTAGCACTTTCACCTGTGTAAGACACAATTGTTACACTTATACTCTCAAAAAGTTACACATTATTAAATTAACCTCCTTTATACCAATTAACCTTGGTATACTTACCAAGTTTAACATACAAGGTTACTCTCACCATGTTAAACTTCATGTCATTTTAATTCAACAAGTACAGTGCTTTGTTAACTTACAACGTTAATGTTATTTAGTTATTTTACTCAGGGTCAAACTTTCACCATGTTTATAACCTTCAAATTTATATAATGTATAATTAGTCATTAATAATTAAATTGATTAATAAACTTATCGCCATAGCGTGTTTGAATCACCAAGACGAAAAATATATATTTAGGTGCAGTATATAATATTACTTAAATAAAATGGTTATATAACCTAAGAATTACGCTTGAGTAAACATAACTAAATATCGATGCTGCATTTAACTTCCGCTCCATAAATACAACATTTATGTGTTTGTAGTGTATATCACACTCGTACTTAATGAGTATGAGTAAAGTACTCGTATAAAATACGAGTACACAAGGTAAAGTGTAGGAGCGCCGTGAGCACTGACCTGACCCGCGTCACGGAGTGTCCACGTCTGACCCAACACGTCGTCCCGCACTGCCGGGACACGCCGAGCTCAGCTGCTACATACTTCTTTTTCATTTATCTCCCCTATTTATTAATAAATTATCCACTACATTTACATTACTTTATTATAGTGACGTTAGGTGATGTCATGACTGTCTTTTTTATTTTTTAAACAGATTTTTATTCTTTCAATTTTCGTATATTTTGTGGCAAAATAGTTTAAATGGAGAGCAGTTGGCACCTGAATTGCTTGGTCGGTGTTTCCCGCATAAAGTGTTCCAGATTTTCTCCAACTTCCACGTGTTCCCATAATGCTTCGTACCTCCACAGACAACTGCCTTTATTCCTCTGCACTCTGTAGTACTCTGCCTCAGCGACGATCATTAGTGAGAAACATGAACAACGCCTCACAACAATTTTCAGTGTGCGCGATAATACTTATTATATATACATAATTTAGAATTATTATATATACCCTATTCAGAATTATTATATATACACTATTCAGAATTATTGTATATACACTTTCAGAATTATTATATATATATATATATATATACACTTCATAATTGTTATATATACACTATTCAGAATTATTATATACACTTTCAGAATTCGTTTGCTGTAATGGTAATAATTTCAATAATTTAGAAATTTAATCTTGAATGATGAACTTTGATAGCGCTATATAGGGCGTTGATGTAACTGGGCCTACACACCCAGCCTGGCCTCTCAAATTGCCACGTCACAAAAATGTCCTACTAAATTGCCCGAGCCAAATCTAACCTAACCGATGAGCCCAGGAATAGAAAACGTGGCAGTCCGTTAATTTAGAGAGCCGCTGTGATTTATAATACATCATATTTTAGCCGTTGGGGGCATTTATACATCAATAATGGATACACCATTCGAGAGAACGCGTCGCTCTCTTAAGGTGCCGCCCATTAGCGCCTTCTTGCGTTGCGTTTTTGTTTATGATTACTTTTGTCGTGTCTGGCTTAGAATTTGTGGATGGAGGTGGCTACCACGACTTCTTATTTTTGTTCAGTGTATTCCACTTAATATATGACCACTCGAACATGGTACAGTTGGCTTTATTCTCGACTCACAATCTGGGATCCCGGGTTTGATTCTCGGGAGGGACAGAAAAAGTTGGGCATGTTTCCTTTCACCTAATCCCTCTAAGACTATTAGAGGGATTATGTGAATTAGATTAGGTAAATAATTAATCCCTCTAAGACTATTAGAGGGAGTTAGTCTTAATAGACTAAGACTATTTCCTTATTAAGACTACTGAATATAGCTCGGTCGATAGAGCTTCGTTGGGTTGATGGTTCGAGTCCCTTAGAGCCCGGGTGAATGGAACCTAATATATCTGTTCACCTAGTAATAAATAGGTAACTGGTCGTTGGGAGTTAGGTAACTGTTGTGGGATTGCATCCTAAACCCTCTGGGAAGGGTCAATAGTTCGAGCTTGAGGGAAGACCTCGATACAAGCCTATGAACTATATCGTATATACATAGGCTTCCTGTCCCCGACAAACTGAATTATTACAATTATGTCCTTATGTTTATTCAACTCATTATTTTTCTGTCTGTGTTCTCTTGTATCTATTGTCTCCAAATTAAAGAGACTGTCCTTGTCTATCTATTCCCCTCAGTATCTTGCATGTTGTGGGAATTTTGCTTTAAATAGCTGACTTAGCTAGAGTTGAAGGGGGTATACGAGTGCCTGGAGCTACTCACTACACACTCCTCCACTCACAAAATCTGCTGCATAAAATTTTGTAAAAATTCATAACTACATAAATACGTGAATTTTGTAAAATTCACAAATACATATGTGGGTTTGTATCCTATGTTATTACGTCTGCGAGAAGACATTGCCATTACTTATTATTATTATTATTTAGTATTATCTACACACCAAAGATAAAGATGAAAGATAACATGAGAGTTTGTATTACTAAGGCTTCCAGAGATATTATTTCGAGCATTTATGCATTGTCTTCTTATTTTTAGATCCAAATTAATCGCGAGGATTCTCAGATCCCTTTCATGTTATATAGCCGATATGAGGTGCCTGTTTTCTTTTCCTAGAGTCAGAACCCAACATTTGTCAACAATGAATTGCAACTACCAATTTTCCGTTAATTTTTTTGGTCTTTTTTTAGGTCTCCTTCTTGAGATGTTCTACATATTGGTCTTAATGCCTGTTTTAGTGTTTTTGGCCAATATATTATTACTGTTTACTCCTGTATTTTAAGTCATTTATCATTTATTTTCATTTTTATTATTATTTATTATCATTTAAGTCATTTATTATATTTATCACAATATAAATATACAAGGACAGAGTACTAGAGCACTCCAGGGGTAATTGTTCCCCATTCTGACTTTATCTATGCTGACCCTAGGTTTCTTGTGCGATAAAATGTCCCGCTCCAGTTTAACAGGTCATTTATAATACCATGTGCCTCGTATTACCTTTCTCCTAGTAAGAACTCTTACCAATACAAGTACTCACCTATTTGTGCTTGCGGGGGTTGAGCTTTGGCTCTTTGGTCCCGGACATCCTTTGGATGGACATCAACTGTGTTCAACCACACAGCTCGAGTCTGTAATATGACACATTTTGAAATATAAAGCATTGGACATTTCCATCCAAGTCAGCAATAAAGAGCATCAGCCCGAGGTAACACTGCTGACCCAGCAGCTTAAGAGGTGGTGAAGGGTGAAGGTCAACAGGCTGAGGTGATCATACGAGGATCATTAGTACGACACGGAGATTAATGAACAATATGGACTGGACAGACAGGATTTTGTTTAAACTAGAGCTGGTATAATGCCAACAACAAGTAACATGATAGAACACATCAGTGTGAGTGACAATACAGACCAAGGTGTAAGGAAGATACAGAGAGATGAGGTTGCGTCTGAGAATGTTAAATATGGTTCTAGGGTGAAGCCCTTAGAGGTTTTTCAATAATTTATAAAAAAACCTCAAACAATACAGAATAATTTGTCTTCTCAAATAGAGAAGACAAAGACTGGGAAGATGCATACTTACAGTATAAAAGAACTACAAAATACACAATTAGAAGGCGATGTAAATAATTTATTTGAAAAGGGCAATGGATTTTGAGAAACAGAGGAAACAGTAGACAGGCCGACTTTGTGAGCTTGTTGAGTGCCAAGAGACAAGATTGCTGACCAAGGTGGGAAGGAATGTGTGTGCTCAGACAACACAAGGGGTTTGTAGTGCAGGACCACCTGTATAACCAATAGGTCTTTTATTCCAACTGTACAAAAGGTAGTAATGTACAAGGTACTACAAATAGAATACAATACATTAATTATAAAACTGCATACAAGTTTCTTGAAAAATGCAGACTTGGGTGGCTATAATGATAACAACTGGTTCAGTACGAGTCTTTACTAGGACTTGAGAATAAATATTGACCACTTGCAATGGTTATACCTATAACATAAGAGAAGGAACTGCATAAGGCCTATTGGCCTATGCATGGGAGCTCCCTAACACTCTCTCATATACATGTCTTAACCTATGCTTTCTAATATGCTAGCTGTAATTTGCTCCATAAATCCACAAACATTCCCAAACCAATTCAGTACAGTACTTATAAAGGTCTTTTCTGAATAAACTTATCCAGTTTTGTCTTATTTTTCGACGATATATTTAGAACTACAGTATACTCATACCCTTTCTAGAGAAAGGGTATGAATACTACCTTTTTAGAAAATCTAAATTTAGTTAAATAAATTTGTTTTCATATTTGACATTTTTAATTCCTACTAATCATGATTTCTATTTATTTTTTCATTCAATGTTACCCATATTACTCATGTGTACTATATTAGGCATCAGATAGTGTGTATTAGGTATATGAAGATTAGGTTAAGTTAAGTTTTCTTTGCAAAACGAGTACAAAAACTTTTCGTGCTTGTCCATATTATGCAGTAGCGATTTCTACTTTTCTAATTACCCTTTACGTCAACATATGTACAATGGTCCTCATAGTTACTATAAATACTACCTAAACAGGAGATATATTCATATACTGAATATGACTATTATTTAATTTCTCCTCCAATTAGTGGACATTTGTTATCCTTCATAGTTTATGAATTACCAAAGACATAGATTGGATAATGAAGGAATTCTCAAAACTTTTCAAGAGTAGGAACATTACTTCAGAAACTAGTTCAAATAAAGAATAAATATTTTGTTCAGGATTGGAAACCCACAGTTCACCCCATCTTGATTATTTTATTTATGGCTCTAATTGTAACAGTATTTTACCCTTTGGCAGTGAATGGTATTCAAAGGCTTTCCAAGTTGAGTAAGTCCTGGCTCACCCCTCCTCTTTCCTGTTCAACTTTGATCACTTGTGGAATTTTATTATTTTTCTTAAAACAAATTGTCCCTGAATCGGCATTTCATTTTCAAATTATGTTTTCTCCAAAAGTTTTACTGGCCTGTGTCATTATTTTCTTAATATCTTTTAGTGGATGGTTGTCATAGAAGTATCTGGTGTAATGCATATTGTTTTTCTCCTTTCTTAAAGATTTATGTTACTGATAGAACATAATAATGAAGGTAACTACAGAAGGCCTATTGGCCCATACATGAAACAAGAGCATGGCATACCCCTGGGAGGAAGAATGTGCGACTTTAAATGATATGTTTCTCTACAAAGGATTGAGGAATAAAATAACAAAGGTTATTGTAGTTTACTGCGGATCAAGCTGTATTCACGAGACAGGTTGACATGAATCAGTGATACTATATATCAATAATACATACATCAAATAAATTACAACCATACAAGATACTATACAACAGTCTCTCTCAGTATACAAGCTATAAACGGTGGCCTGGTATACAAAGAGCTCCAGATAAAACTGTAAAAATGTTATATTGCAACTACAATGTCTTGTCTGCTTAGCAAACAATTTTGTATATGACTTGTGCCTAGGTGTTTCATTTGCCAAAGAAAGATATTGGGATATCTTCAGAAATTTCTGTTGTGAACACAAAGTAAGTTCTTATAAAACAGTCAAAAGTTCCAATATGGAACTCTAAACTCTCTCCACCAGTAATTTTTTACAGTCCTATACATAACAAAATTATTAAAACAATAAAGCTTTGGTACTGATATATATATATATTTATTTATAGTATTTTTTTTTGATGGTAGAAGATTCTTTGAGTAGTTTAATATAAAAAATATGTATAACAAATTACTTGACAAGGTAGAGGAACATTCAACTGAAAGTCTTATTTCAATATGACAAAAATATCATATTTGGAGAGACTCCAGTTTGATAAATTATGAATGGGAAAAGGGAATCATGAAAAAACTTCTAAAATGGCTCTCAAATATCACACAACAGCTTCTTCTGAAGAACACTATCTTGAACTTGCTCCTTCAAGAGCCATTTTAGTTTATAAATAAACATTAAGGAAATGAGTTTACTAAAAATATGAAGCCTAAGATTGCACAGCTTCAGCATCTGGGAGTTAAAGCTGTGACGTCCAATGTTTGCGACAACCCCAAAAGCAGCTTGACACTAATGTAAAATGCAAGAGAAATATACTTCCCTTAGTGCCCATGCTAAAAAATGTATACAAAGTTTACCTTGACATAAAACTTGGATGAGGTTGTCCTTTGTCCAGAGAAGGCTACCTTCATCTTTACAATTTTGAACTCTTCATAACACTTGGGCAATATGCAGCTGCCCTTCAATCTTAATAATAGGTACGGTAATCAAATTCCCTGATCCCCTTTTCATTTATAAACCTCATGCAAGCCTCAGGTGAAGTACCATTCTCTTGTACGTCCATCACAGAAAAGGCGTGACATTATCTACAGTAGCATCAAAATGTCTGGTGTTGTCAACCATTTGCATCACACAGAGGGAGGAAGTCTTAGTGGAGCCAAGCACAGGGTTATTTGTAAGTACTTTCTATAGCCTGCTTCATACTTCAGGATGAAGCTGCAAGTTCATACACAATTAACTAATTTTAGGTAAAACAAATTTTTCTCAAATAAAAGAAAACTCAAGGTTTAAAACAGAGGGTTAATTATGCTGGGTATTTATGCTTCTTGCCAAGATGTGAAAAATTAAAAAAAAATTATTCTTCTCATTTTCAATAACACGCATCATACAGCACCCTACAATGTTTTACATTTTTTTAGGACTGAATAATCTAAGCGTTTCTTTGTATCATTCAAACGATCACTATCATTAGATATTTTGAAAAAAAAAAACTTCTTATGACTACTGTATATGACAATTGTTCTCTGATGTGTAATATAGAAATAATATTACCATTGTCTGGATGGCCAGTAAAACACAAAAGTAAAACCTAACTGTTATCCAAAAGCTGCAATGGGAAACACGTTATCGACTCGCAACCGCGGCAACCAGCATCAATTCCCAGGCAGGACAGAAGTGGTTGGCAAGTCTCCTTTCACCTGATGCTCCTGTTCACCTAGCAGTAAAATGGGTACAGTACCTGGGAATGAGGCAGCTGTTATGGGTTGCATCCTGGGAAGGGTCAGTTTTTGGCCTAAGGGAGCCTCCATAAACCGAAGTACAAGCTCCCTGTCCTCAACAATGGAAATTACTATACAGTACCGGCGTTGCAACATTATCAATTCGTTTTATACATTGACTATCGCAATTTATTATTGCATTTTTTATCTTAAGATATCACTTCCATTAAACTGTTTAAAACCACTTGACTGTTACCAAAATCACCTTTAAGTATATAACTTGTTTGACTAAAATACAAACAAAAACAATGCGGCTCTTTAGTGTCAGCATAATTCGTGAGAAGATTGCTGCCGACCGGTTAAAATTAGAAGTGGATTTGTTTTGTTGAAATCATAAATTTGATGAGAAATCTAAATTTTTAGATGCAAGATCTATGATAAAATTTACATTAAAATAAAAAACACGATATTTGAGTTTCATGCTTTAGCTTAACTGAATCTTCAGTGTTGACATGTAGTATTACATTTTATGAAGTAGTTGAAGAATTTCTTTTAATTATTTCAAAAGTTTTAAGTTGAATATGAAGCAAGCTATATAAGATAAGCAATTTTAACTTTTCATCCCTCTTTATTAGCAGCTGTCCACAACACATTTCAATTAAATTTATTTTTAACACAAACACCTGAAAGTTATAACAGTTTCCTCCTTATAAATGAAACCTCAAATTTTATATTCGATATAATTGTTCAGTTCCACGAACGTAACATACCTCTGTGCTCCCTTGTCCTGAAGCAGACTGAAAGACTAGACCTATTGTGTTTATAAGAAGTATCCCCATTTATATTAAATAACAAATTTAATGCAGTCAAAATTAAATGAGGATGTATGGGTTAAGCTTGCATTTTTCTGCAGGATTTATCAAACAAATGACTAATAGCAAAATAATAGCTAGACAGTTTGCTGCCTTGACACATGACACTTACAGCTCCACGCTGGGTCTCTTCTTGTGCAGTGATCACGTAAATAATGATGAAGTGCAGGTTGCCAGATAGATGAAGTTATACCAGCTATAATGTGCACAGTTGTCTCACTGCTGACTGTTCCTATTGTTAATCATGTATATCACAAACCTGCTATTCTTAGTACAGTACTGGTATTCTCTGAAATAACCTGCTCAGCTGCTCCGTAAGGTAAGATCCTTCTGATTCTATCAGACAGCCACAAATGGTGAGGCCCGTTAACATTGTGTCAGCCTGCCAGACTGTTCATGATCTTGTACACCGTACTCTGATGCATCTTGTCTCACCGAGCAACCGAGTCTGCTGCTCAGAAAGGAGCCTGTCATAAAATTCAGCCTTATTTTTTTATGACTTATATAATATTTATATATACAGTATAACATATTTATAAGATATACCAGTAATATATATATATATATATATATATATATATATATATATATATATATATATATATATATATATTAAAATTATGTGTATACTGTAATATATATCATATTACAGTATACACAATTTTAATTTGAATATATTATATAATATACATAATATACAGTACATAATATATTCATATATATACAGTATATTTTATATATACATATACATATATTATTTCAGATTTAGATTTTGTTTCCATATTTAGTTAGTGCACATTATACAGCTGGTTGTTCAGCATCTGCCAAAACCTGAGAAAATGGTGATGTGGTGACTTGTCTGATCATATGAGAGATCCCAAAAGCACAATATCTTTTTCACTGCTCTGAGGCTAGAATTCTAAAAAATGTTCTCACTGGATATTAGCCCATACTAATACTAAGCAGCAAGAAAGAACATTTGCTCTGAGAAATGAGGAATCCCTTAATGTGATGACGTCCACTCCTCCAAGGCACGACTCGTCCTCAGAGAGGAGGCCGCGCCACAGACCAGACGATGAGGTGAGAGCGATCACCGCGACTCAGTGACTCTGCAGACGGCTCAGGGGCTCCATCCTCCTCCCCCTCACCTGAAATTTAAATGAAATTATTTAATTTAGCAACAATAAATTATTAAAACAGTAAAATTTAATTAAAGCTACATTAAATTAAGTTTGTACGTACATCTGGTCAAAGAATCCTTCTTTACCTGTTGTAGACAAAGCCAGACCTCAGTTATTCATTTGTTTAACACACACATTCACTGTACAGTACAATAACTTGAATCAATAAATCTCAAAGTGAAAACTAATAATACTGTACATTTAAAAAATACAATATTGAATACCTAATGGGTTTGCTACCCTGTACTACAGTAAAATACAATACTTCTCTTTCTTTATATATATAGATATATAATATATATAGATAATATATATATATATATATATATATATATATATATATATATATATATATATATATATATATATATATATATATATATATATATATATATATATATATATATATATATGCGAACAAGCCTGAATGGTCCCCAGGACATATGCAACTGAAAACTCACACCCCAGAAGTGACTCGAACCCATACTCCCAGAAGCAACGCATCTGGTATGTACAAGACGCCTTAATCCACTTGACCATCACGACCGGACAAAATGAGGTGATAGCCGAGGCTATTTGAACCACCCCACCGCCGGCACTCGGATAGTTATCTTGGGCATAGCATTTTACCAAATCACCTCATTCTTTGGGGCAACACGTGAGGAACACAAATGCGAACAAGCCTGAATGGTCCCCAGGACATATGCAACTGAAAACTCACACCCCAGAAGTGACTCGAACCCATACTCCCAGAAGCAACGCATCTGGTATGTACAAGACGCCTTAATCCACTTGACCATCACGACCGGACAAAATGAGGTGATAGCCGAGGCTATTTGAACCACCCCACCGCCGGCACTCGGATAGTTATCTTGGGCATAGCATTTTACCAAATCACCTCATTCTTTGGGGCAACACGTGAGGAACACAAATGCGAACAAGCCTGAATGGTCCCCAGGACATATGCAACTGAAAACTCACACCCCAGAAGTGACTCGAACCCATACTCCCAGAAGCAACGCATCTGGTATGTACAAGACGCCTTAATCCACTTGACCATCACGACCGGACAAAATGAGGTGATAGCCGAGGCTATTTGAACCACCCCACCGCCGGCACTCGGATAGTTATCTTGGGCATAGCATTTTACCAAATCACCTCATTCTTTGGGGCAACACGTGAGGAACACAAATGCGAACAAGCCTGAATGGTCCCCAGGACATATGCAACTGAAAACTCACACCCCAGAAGTGACTCGAACCCATACTCCCAGAAGCAACGCATCTGGTATGTACAAGACGCCTTAATCCACTTGACCATCACGACCGGACAAAATGAGGTGATAGCCGAGGCTATATGAACCACCCCACCGCCGGCACTCGGATAGTTATCTTGGTGATAGCCTCGGCTATCACCTCATTTTGTCCGGTCGTGATGGTCAAGTGGATTAAGGCGTCTTGTACATACCAGATGCGTTGCTTCTGGGAGTATGGGTTCGAGTCACTTCTGGGGTGTGAGTTTTCAGTTATATATATATATATATATATATATGTCGTACCTAGTAGCCAGAACTCACTTCTCGGCCTACTATGCAAGGCCCGATTTGCCTAATAAGCCAAGTTTTCCTGAATTAATATATTTTCTCTAATTTTTTTCTTATGAAATGATAAAGCTACCCATTTCATTATGTATGAGGTCAATTTTTTTTTATTGGAGTTAAAATTAACGTAGATATATGACCGAACCTAACCAACCCTACCTAACCTAACCTAACCTATCTTTATAGGTTAGGTTAGGTTAGGTAGCCGAAAATGTTAGGTTAGGTTAGGTAGGTTAGGTAGTCGAAATACAATTAATTCATGAAAACTTGGCTTATTAGGCAAATCGGGCCTTGCATAGTAGGCTGAGAAGTGCGTTCTGGCTACTAGGTACGACATATATATATAAATATAAATATAAATATAAATATATATATATATATATATATATATATATATATATATATATATATATATATATATTATATATATAATATATATATAATATATACTTCCCTCCTTCCCAGAGGAGGGAAGTGAGTAACTCAGGCATAGCTTCTAAGGCCCACACTGCAGGTAACACTGTTGCAGCATCCAGGACTGAAATCAAAACATCCAAGCTCCCCCAGAGCTCGGCAGAGAACAACTCAACCAATAGAAGCAAATTAAACATGGGGGGAAGGGGGGGGGGTGAAGATGGGCAGTAATCAATGAAAAGAATAGGCTTAAAGAGTAGAGGGACCAATTCAAATGGTAGATTTTGTTGTTTCATTGTTTCATCAGCCAGTTCATTGCAGGTGATACTGTACCAATGCGACTTGTACCCAGCACTAAACTCTACTATCTGTGATGACAAAAAGTAAGTTATACAGTGTGCTCATTTTACAAATAAAATGTGCTTCAAAAAAAGGTGTTTATAACTCGGAAACATTTTTTTCACAGGAACAAAGCTGTAAATGAGGGGATGCAATCCAGGACCACCAAATACGTATCAACATAACACAAATCATATCCAAACCACACAACAGAAAATGAAGAAATGACAACGTTTTGGGGTGTCCTGGACCATTATCAAATTGTTTCTTCATTTTCTGGCGAGTGATTTGGATACCGTATCTTTAGCCACGTGATTGTGACTCGTCGTCTGCATAACACAAATTATTTTGGGAATATACCCAAAAATGTGTTCTTTATTTACCTTGAATGATGGAGCTCTCTTGAGTGTCTGAATATGTTTTTTTGGAGAGTGAAGAGGGTTAATTGGTAAAGGAAGAGGCAGTAGGTGGTGGTGATACATAAGGGGCAGAGATTGGTGGGTCATCTTCAGTGTCACTGGCTACTGTAGATTGCTCAAATTTTAAGTCTTGTTCTTCATAATACAGTGGCAGCTCCAAAACTTATTCTAAGCATAAATTAAATATAGCATTTATACATTTTTCCAGTTTACTGATCGAAATCAAAAGTTCAAACTGTTACACGATGCATATCTATCGCATAAATAATGCAATAGATATTAATGACAAATGCAATTTCTCCTTCAGCATCATTTTCACACATGATGCCGAATCAGAATCAACCTCTGATTGTTATTTTTTCAAAAGCAGAGCATGACTCCTTGTGAACGAAAGTAAGTCAAACGTAAAATTAAAAGCAAGGAATTTTATTTTGTTTATGCTCAATGATTTTCCCATGACCAACTTCTTTTTCTAAAGTTGTGCCAACTTAGGAAAATTATTAAAATCTGATGGAGGGAGAGGGATGCAAGTAACATGGGCATTCCAACACAAAGCAGCAAAGTATGATCAGAAACTCTATATACAGTGAAACTCACAAGCCCAATTTGGATTTGCAAATAATTAGTATTCCTGAATAATAGTCCTTTTATGGCCATTTATCAAAAAATTTTCCAGGTTCTTCTTACGGCAAATAAAATACATAAAAAATAATTTTGGGGGCGCTGGTACCATAGGGTCAAAATCAGGATACCAGGAATTTGTGATTATTTCATGACCTTCCCAAGTAGGTTCCAGAATTCTGCCCCATTCAAAAATATGAGAAAGTCATAAAACTTTTTTACACACAAAAGAAATACCAACAAAAAAGGCCAGGAATGGATGAGAAAAACATAAAAAACCCTGAGAAATGTCTAGTACAAACACTTACCTAAAAAAAAAAAGCCCCAAATACCATTTCGATGCTCTACACACTCACCACCAGATGGCAGTGCTAGCCAACTAGGGGGTACAGCAAGGCCACCATAACAAACAAGACTGAACTAACACCCCCCAAAAAAACATGGTTACGCAGGGTAACAGGGCAACAAAAGGTAAGTCACTGAGGAAGAGGAGGAAGGATGGGGGTGGGGAGCCTCCAAAATGGGGCATTTCATTGAACTCAATGCTCTATTTGTGGTAAATTTTCAAGAGTTTACTTCCTATGGTGCCTCACATGAGGAACTTACACAGACATGGACACATAGAGACACACAGTGCTGGTGCTCCAGGTATTTTCATTATCTAAGTGATGGAGTGGAGTACCTAAATGGAGTCCCAACTAACATAACTATACAAAGATCAGCAGTAGAGGTGGAAGCGTGACTAATAATGAAAACCCAACATCAACTGTAGTAAAATGCATCATTCTGGTAGCATGGTATTGGGCACACGAGTCACATCAGCCCTAGATGTCCTCAATAGCCTACCAGAGACCAGAGCCAGACCCTGGCCTTCTCACCGAGGCACAGGGAGCAGGGGGTTCTTCAGAACACACCTCACCAAAGACACATACACAGAAAGAGAGGCAAAATAGACAATTGCAAGAGTCACTGTTAGGACCCAGTGTATACAGCATATTATTAATATACACTATGTCCTAACTTAATAAATAAATCCTATAATTATTGTCATTAAGAAATATAATATGTCACTAATGTTTAAGTTTAAATGTATATTTTTGTAATAAGTGACAAAGTATTTTGTATGTCACTATAATATGAGTGAATGTCATACAGGTCCACATCAAAGTCGGACTATGCAATTATTTAAGGTTTTGTTTATATGTTTGGTGCAAGGTCAAACTAGCTAACTGCTTGCTTGAACGTGTGTGTGTGTGATTTGGCCAGCTCGAGTATCTGTCTCAGCCCGAGAGAAGAGTTAGACCTACAAATAAATGCAGCCCAGACTCCAAAACTGTCAAATGTCCTGGAGCCTGGAGCAAAGGGAGGCCAGATGAACAGTGTAAAGTTAAAGAGCGGTGAACACAGCACCAGAAGAAACGCCACCTGCTTTAATTACAAAACTCAAAACAAAGAGGGCTTACTCTGGGGCATCCATTTGAGCACCAAGTTGCAAACACAAAAATGGGCACATGAACCCAAAGCCGTCACAGACTGAGAAGCCTCATCGCTACAAAATAAACAAGCCAAAAGAT